TTCCTTCCTTCCTTCCTTCCTCTCTCTCTCTCTCTCTCTCTCTCTCTCTTTCTTTCTTTCTTTCTTTCTTTCTTTCACACTCCAGATTTTATTTCCCCCCTGCTCCACCCTTCGACTGTTTAACATCTCATACCTCCTCCCTGCCCCCCAACCCTGTGCTCCCCCCACCAACTTCTGCACGAGGATGTCCCACCCCCACCCTACCCTACCAGACCTCTAAACTCCTTGAGACCTCCAGTTCTTTATGGATAGGTGCACCTTCCCTGTCTGAGCCCAGACTCAGCAATCTTCTATATACATGATGGGGGCCTCATATCAGCTGTTATATGCTGCCTGGTTGGTGGCCCAGTGTGTGAGAGATCTCAGGGGTCCAGGTTAATTGTGACTGCTGGTCCTCCTACAGAGATGCCCTTCTCTTCACCTTCTTTCAGCTTTTCCCTGGTTCAATCACAGGGGTCAGCAGCTTCTGTCCATTGGTTGAGTGCAAATATCTACAACTGACTCAGCTGCTCGTTGCATCTTTCAGAGGTCAGTCATGATAGCTCCCTTTTGTGAGTACTCCGTGGCCTCAGTAATAGTGTCAGGCCTTGGGACCTCCCCTTGAGCTGGATCCCACTTTGGGCCTGGCCCTGGACCTTCTTTCCTCAGGCTCCTCTCCATTTCCATACCTGAAGTTCTTTCAGACAGGAACAATTATGAGTCAGAGTTTTGACTGTGGGAATGCAACCCCATCCCTCACTTGATGCTGTCTTCTTGCTGGAGGTGGGCTATACAAGTTTCCTCTCCCCTCTGTAGGACATTTCATCTAAGATCTGTCATTTTGAGTCCTAAGAGCCTCTCACCTCCTAGGTCTCTGGTACATTCTGGAGGGTCTGCCCAACCTCCTATCTTCTGAGGTTGCCTGTTTTCCTTCTATCTGCTGACCCTCAGGGATTTAGTCTTTTTCCCCAACCCAATACCAGAATCATGTTTCCCTCTTTCCCCACTCCTGCCTGTCCACTTTCCCTCCCAAGTCACTCCCTCCTTCCTTCCCTCCCTCCCTCCCTCCGTCCCTCCCTCTCTCCCTCCTTGTGATTGCTTTCTCTTTCTTCCAAGTGGAACTGAGGCATCCTCACTTGGTCCCTTCAGCTTGTTGGTCTTTTGTAGTTCTGTGGACTGTATCTCAAGTCTTTTCTTTTCTTTTCTCTTCTCTTCTCTTCTCTTCTCTTCTCTTCTCTTCTCTTCCTTCCTTTCTTTCTTTCTTTCTTTCTTTCTTTCTTTCTTTCTTTCTTTCTCCTAAAATCCACTTATTAGTGAATTACCTCACTCAGGAAAGTATTTTCTAGTTCCTTTCATTTGCATGGAAAACTCAGGATGTCCTTGTTTCTAATAGCTGAGTAGGATTCCATGGTGTAAATGAACCACATTTTCTTTATCTATCCTTCTGTCATGGGACATCTGGGTTGTTTCAGCTTCTGGCTATTACAAACAAGGCCGCTATGGACATAGTGGAACAGGTGCCCCTGTGTCATGGTGGGGCATCTTTTGGGTATATTCCTAAGAGTGGTATTGCTGGGTCTTCAGGTAGATCTATTTCTAATTTTCTGAGGAACCTCCAGATTGATTTCCAGAGTGATTGTACTAGTTTGCAATCTTGCTCATGGTACAGCTTCTGGGAGGGTGGTATCTTCCCTGGGTATGCCCCCCCCCACACACACACACTTAGCACTTCAAGTCTGTATGAGGCTAAGCACTTCCTCTCTCATTGAGGCCAGACAAAGCAGTCCAGCTATTAGAATATATCTTATGTACAGACAACAACTTTTGGAATATCCCCCGCTCTAGTTGTTCTAGACCCACATATATTTAGCTGTATATTTGCTACATATGAGTGAGGAGGCCTAGGTCTAGCCTGTGTATGTTCTTTAGTTGGTGGTTCAGACTCTGAGAGCCCTAAGGTTCCAGGTTAGTTGACTTTGCTGATCTTTCTGTTGAGTGACATTTCCTATGAATAAGCCTTAGATCAATAAAATTTCAAATCACAAATGAATAACAAAGGAGTTACTCATTTGGATGATCTCAAAGATAAATATGTTTATAATTTATAATTTAGACAAAACACAATTTAAATTCAAGCATGGGAATAATAGTGACTTCTATTAGATAGACTCCAGTGCCCTCTTTATAAAATTACTTTTCTGTTTCTCCATATTTTATCCATATAATTTTATAGTGTATTTTTAATAACATATGCACTTCTAGAAGTTTTACACATGCTAGTGATCCTATGTATACACATTTTAGAGTTTATATAGAATTTCAAAAATACATATTTAATTTTTTTACATGTTTAGATAAACTAATTTATGCATTCTTTACATTCACACAATTCTTATAATAAACTTCAAACTGTCAACTTCATTTAAGGATGTCTGTCTGTATTAGACTTTTTCAAGGCATGTGGGGAAACGTTAATTTCTATGAATATTTTTTTGAAAATTGTAGCATTCTTGTGACTAATAAACTTTTGAGATCTTTGATGATGTTGATGAATGATAAGCAAATATTTGCAATTACTATTTAGTGGAAACTATGCTTTTTAATTAACTCAAATTTAAATATAACTGACTAATTTTGTTTTAGAAAGGAAATGTAGTTGAAAAGTAATTTTTAAAATAACGGATGCAGGATTTTTACAAGGAAGAGAAATTATGAAAATAATTGAGAATCTAGGTAGTACAGCTTTATACAAAATAAGCCAAATAAATTTTTCAGTAGGAGAATCATACAGCATGTAAAACTAAATATTGTTTTGTAGACCTTGCTTGTTTCATAAACCTTGTCCTAATATAGCAGAAAGCGTATACACAACAAAATGCTAAGTGTCATATAATTGCATGTTTTTATCATTACTAGTATAAACATGCCTTTATGTCAAGTTTACCTAGAGCCATCTAGTAGGATACAATTTTCTAATATTCCTACTAGCAATTGCTGTCTTTGTAACCAAAATGCAAGCACACTATGTAAACAAAGATACTTTGTGTCTTTAGTCGATTTCTTTCCAAGAAGAACCAAGTGGGATTTTATTGATGCGAATAGCAGCTATTCTTTTTTTGCCAAGTTATTCAGGGAGTCTTGTGAATGTGTAGGTTAGTAGTGAGGAAGTTAGAGGGGTCAGGAACAGCACAAGAAGACCCAGTGTCAACAAACCTGGGATCAATATAATCTCACAGAGCCTGGTTCAACAGCCAGAGAGCATGCAAGAGCTTGACCTTCTACCAATTTTTAGCAAATGCGCAGCTTGGTCTTCATGTTGGTCCCCTAACAAGTGGAGTAGGGCTGTCTTTTACTTTGTTCCCTCTCAATGACTTCCCTTCCCCTACCTGGACTGCCTGGTTGGGCCTCAGTGAGAGAGGATGTGCTTAGTCCTGCAAAACTTTTATGTCCCAGGATGTGGTGGTACCCAAGGAGGCCTTCCCTTTCTCAAAGAGCTGTGGGGAATAATGAGGTGAGAAATTTGTAAGGGTTTGGCTAGAAAGCAAGAATGGAAGGTAGCTGGGAAGTAGAGTGAATATAAATACATGAATGGACAAATTTTTTTTAAAAAAATTGTTTGTAATTGTATCCTTGATGAAAAGTTGAGTCATAGAGACAAATACAGTTGTTTGCGGTTATGTCAGTAGAGACACATGATACAATGCAAAGAAATAGAGCTCCTAAGTCACCTGTGGCAGAGATTTCTTAATTTTGAAGTGGAGAGTAGACTGACCCATTTAAAAATATCCATATACTCTCATTTGATTTCTCCTTATCTCCTTAGACATGTGATCATCAAGGTAGTTCATTTAAAGTTTAAAAGAGCTGGGAAGAGAGAATGGTAGAGAATTATTGAGGTATACATCTCCAGTCATCAGTGATGGTTAATTTCAGGTACTGCTCTCCCTTCATTAGAAAACTATAAGCATTTTTTGGTTGTGTGTGGAAAGGTATTTCCAGAAGAAATTGGTGGGTGATTCCGTTGATTCAGTGAATCACAGACAGAAATTGAAAAGCTCTGCAAAAGAAGGTTTACTTCTCTCTTTTTCCTGGAAGCTGAGACCTCCTTCTGTCCTTGGGTTTCATAATTGCAGAATCTGTGATCAGTGGACTCCAGTGGATTTAGTCAGAAGACATTGATAAGGATTCTCCATCCTCTCATCTTTGGCTGGGAGTTACTTCATAAGCTTTCCTTGGTCTGTAGACCTTGAGACCCAGATTCAACCACACTACTACCACATTTCAGTGTTTACAGTTAGCCTGTGATTTCCCATATGATATGAGAATTCACAGCCTCAATTCCTTTCTACCAGTTCTGCTGATAAATTCCTTCTCACCATTCAGCTACCTGTATATATGCATGTATCCATCTTTATATTGTGTAAGTATGCATTTCCTTATTACTTCCTTTTTGTTATTAGTCAATAAGATTTATTGCAGTTATTGAGGAGGTAGCAAAAGGTTAAAAACAAATTGATTAGAAAATTTCTTTTCACTGTAGTCATTCAGGCACTAGCAGACTAGCATAGGCACAGGACAAGAGGTGTTGGCGTTAGGATTTTGTATGCATGAGTCTTCCATAAGTTAAACAATAACCAAGCAGAGTAAAAAGCTGATTTGTAGTGGTCTAAGTGTCTGTCTCCAGGTTCACATTGCATGGTGGACTTCCTGCCCACTTTCTTGCTCTTGGGTGTTCACAAACATCTGGGAGGCAAGAAGGAGCAGTTAGGTAGCCTTCTCCTCCCACAAAGGCTTCTTGAGTTCTATCTTTTACAGCGCCCATGGAAGGCAGTAAAAGCTGCTCCACAGGAGGGTACAACTGGAGCTTATGAGATAATTGCAAAGCTAGTTTATAAAGAAGAATCCTTCAAGGCAGATCTCTACTTCGACCTCCCTTTCATAAGCCTCTGAAGACTCTGCTAGTCCTGCTAGATGAGCCTGGTGTCAGAGGCCATCACATGAAGATACCGTGTGACAGAAGATGTGTTGAAAATAACAGGGTTTGGTAAGGACAGGAGCAGCCCTTACAGATGTCAGGAAATGTTTCCAGCATCCTCTCCCTGCAGTATCAATGACCATGGCACAAAAGCCCATTAATACTTTCAGAAACAGGGGAACCTATTTCTTCTTAGTAGTTCTGTATATCTTGAAAGCTAAGATTCTATCCAGCATTGAGAAATGGATAATCTAGCTTAATGTAGACTTCAAACTGATAGATAGATCATATAATGACTTCTCACTCTGCCTTGTAAACATTGTTCAGCAAATAAGACTTCAGAGACCCGTGTCTGATCTCAGTTGTTCTTGTGTGCAGTTGACATTTGCTTAGAGCCTGCTAAAAACCAATTATTGGGTTAATTATTAAAGTCATTTTTCAAGAACTATATTATAATCTCTACTCATAAAGCAAATCTGAGTCTAAGGAAAATTATTGCATTTTTTATCTTTTTCCTTATAAAACACAGACATACCAGGCTGTTGTATCAATTATGCTGCCCTAAGTTTCCCACACGCTCATTAAATGTGAGAGAACTGTGACAAAATAATGAGAAAATTGTATTTTAGTTATTTCCTAACATTATCATGTATGAATTACAGTATCAGTTTCACATACCTTGATGTAGCTTCCCTTTTCACAACCCTTTCATAACAGTTTTTCTCTAGAACATTAGGTTTGTCAGTAAGTCTAAAAGGAAATGTATTAAACTAAAGTGAGCAGAAATATTCTGGACCTAAAATATACAAATTGATTTTTAAATTGCTTGTATCAAATTGTTTCAAGTAAGCAGCTGTATCATTTTCAACGTAGTGAATTCTTTCCATTTTTCACCTTAAGCAAAATGCTATGGATATAATTTATGTGTGTCTCCCATGGTTCCTCTGCCAGAGGATTATGTGGAAACTTTAATAGGCTGGTTGAGATGTATAGTAGTTAAATTGCTGTATGTAGTATCTATGGAAGGGATAACCCTGGTGGGATCTCTGTCATTTCCCCCTTGGAGCAAGCTTTTATAAAGGAATGAGCTTAGTTCCTGGTTTCTTGAACTTATTCCTTAACATAATCTCATTGGCACCTCGTCCTGGCCTGATTATCCCTCTCAGGACAAACATCTTGGCCTGAGTAATTTTAAAATATTAACCTCCAAAACTGCACAGTTAAATAACACTTTTTCTTTTATAAAGTATTGAGATTGGTGGCTGCATCATATGTGTTCTCTAGTTTGTGAAAATTGTGGCATGTAAATTTTTAACATTCTATTGAAAACTACCAAATGTGACTCTTCTGTTTGTTACTAGCTACATCCTATACTAGTTTTGATTACTTTGTAAAACAGGATTTACTTATTTATTTTATGTATATGAGTACACTGTAGCTGTCTTCAGACACACCAGAAGAGGGCATTGCATGCCATTATAGATGGTTGTGACTTAGCATGTGGTTGCTGGGAATTGAAGTCCTCAGGAAGAACATTCAGTGCTCTTAAATGCTGAGACATTTCTCTGGCCACCAGTTTTAATTACCTTTTCTATTATTTCTAGATAAATTCACCATACTTATTCACATTTATTGGTAAATTAATATTACCTTAGGCTAATAAAATATTTCTTACAGGGAAGAAATGATTATACCTTCACCACAATCATAGACTTTGGATTGTCAGAACTCTACAGTTTTCACTCTGAAGCAGCAGAAGCGGGAGTCTTGGGCTAAACACAAACACACCACCATCAATTTAATCACTTGCATATTTTGCTTTTGTTTCTCATACAATTTTTTAATTGTGAAAATGGTTAATAAACTCCTGTTAAAGTAGAAGAAGATGTAAATGGCATGTTACATTTTTAAAATAAATAAATACAAGTCTAAAAAATAAATATAGAATAAAGATAGCTTTAGACACTGACCTAAAATCAGTTAGTGCTACTGTTGGGAGAATGTGTTTGTTCAAGGAAAGTTGTCTTAAATGCCTAATACAAAAATCTCAGTTTCTAACACGGTAAAGCAATGACTCAGCTTCTATAAGATTCATTTGGGTATAATAGATAATGCATGAATTCTAAGAAATAGTAGTTTGTATCTCGATTGTACTCTTTGGTAGTGCCAAGAATCCAGGCAAAATCTTTAGTCACCATAAAACCCATTAGTATCATCTGTAAAATGGAAGACTATAATAACATTTCCAGAATGGCTGAGAAAGTCTGAAAATCTAAATAATGATCTAATAAATAATAGATGCACAGTTAGCTATTTCTATTATATTAGATTTTTTAAGTTGGGATGAGAGATTTGAGTCAAAGTTTCTAATTTTAATCTTTGTATCTGTAGCCCTCTGCACAGTGATAGCAGTAAAAACTGTAAAAGTGTTGCTGAATTGTAATTGTTGCCATGGTTACTATTGAAACAACCTGCTGTATATGGTATTTTAAAATGACATTGTTAACATAGTTACATGATATGTACTTTCTGAAAGAGACTTTTGTCTCTAAAGAACATAGAAAATTCTTCAGAAATAAATGTGGCTAAAGTCCTCCATGCATATTTCTGGAACATAGCATGTTAGTTATGCTACCTTAAAATCATTTATTTGAGGCAGAGAGGTACAAACTTCTTGAACAACATGTGTCAATTGCAGGTGTTTTCTGGATTGAGGGTCATAGGGGAAAAGAAAAATGGGCAAAAGAGAAGAAAAGAAATTAAATACTTCTATGTTTTCATGTAGAGACAAGAAAAACAAATTTAAACACCACCTACAGTTTTGTTTGCTGGGATAATTTTATTTATATTCTATGGTGCCAGTCAAGTTCTTGGTGTACAAGCTACAAAATTAAAAGGAGACAATAATCAGTTACAATACTTACCATCATAAAAATTTATGAGAGGGATTGAAGAAAAGCATGGGGAATTCCTTGTCAAATGGAGTCCTTCTCATTCACATCTAACAACCTAACCATCTGCTTTCTCTGAGAAGAATGGGTAATGTTTTGTAATTCTTGTGACTGGTGTGGAGTTTTATGTGGAAATTGCCTTAGCCCTCTTCATCCTAGTTAGAAAACAGATCTTAAAAGACCCACATGCAAAGATTCCTACAGAGCCTCAAATAAGATATTCAGGCAGTTATGAGAAACCATTGTAAGTCCTTAATGCTCAGCATGTTACTGACTGCTGATATTATCATGTAGTTGTGTTTCTTAGCTTGAGTTTTCAAGGATGTTATTCCCAGAAAGCCACTAGTATTTCCCACAACCTGAGATATTAAGAAGGCTGGCATCCACTTACTACATTACTGTGAAACAAGATCAATTGTTAAAAGATGCTGTATTCAATGATTGCCCAAAAACTAAATTTTAGAAGGAATGTGTGCAATTCTGAAATATCTTAGATCAGGAGACACAGTTGAGTCTGCAAAGAAGGATGGAACAGAAAAAGTTTTCTAAAGCACAAGCCAAGAGAAACTGAAGTTTTGAAACTATGAATACCTTTGAGATAGAAGAGGTTAGATTTTGGTAGTATGTGATTTTGGTATGAAATAAACAAATACACCATTTTCTAATTGTAGACATTAATGAAAATTATTGCTTCCAATTACATAAATGTAATCCCATTACATTTTACATAAATGTAAAAATCAGAATAGTTTTGAGGAAGGATAGAAACACATGGAAAATTGGGGGGGGGCATGTGATCAAAGAGTAACATGACTGAAGCCTCCTGCTAGCTAACAGTCAACAATTCCAAGACAGTTGCCAGTATTTGCTGGGACTTCTGTCTACAGAATATTTATCCTTTCTAAAGAGATACTTTCAAACAGCTCTATTAAAGCGATAATGAACCCATTAACTAGTGAGGTTATATGATCTTCAGTATGAGCTAACTTCTTTTCCAGATATTTGTTATGAATTTTACAAATACTAATCAACTTTTCTTCACATTAACATTACCTTAACTTCTTCTGAAACTTCTGCATACTTGGGTATTAACAGTCATAATCATCTTCACATACATAGGAACCACACTTGCATCTCTTTCACCAAAACTGAAAATATGTTTATCAAATCTTTGATAGTCATTCAGAAGCCAACAAAATCACATGGCTCAATCAAGATTCTTAAAACTCCACATCCAATTGTGCCTCTGTGGGCTATCTTTTCCCCCCTAGAAGGAGTATTAGCCCAAGCTAAAATCTAAGTTAAATTTCTTAAATAACAATAGTAGTAATAATAATAATGATGACTATAGTTGTAATAGTAGTAATAATAATAATGACAATTCTGGTACTTGTTGCTTTTTCTTAAAATCCTTTTCTGTGACATAGGCAAGAGTCCTTCTTTACCAAAGAGGCCTAAAAATAAGCCCTCTATTAGCAGTTAATCTGTTTCTCAGATCCATGCTTTACTGTCCCTGACACAGTAGTGTCTACAAATTTATCAGTCATAGATATTTTCATATACACTGCAATTTTTGAAGACTGTTTATATCACTCCTGTTTAACATCTTTGTTTTTCCTCCCTTACTGTGGATTAAACACAGAACATCATAAATGTTCAACCTCTATCAGTAAGTTGCAGCTTCTGTATGTCTACCATAAAGCATTAACAAAAAAGAAGCATGTACTACCTTGACAAAATCCCAATATTAAATGCATTAGTAATCGCACTGCTTGCCTCCTGGGTAACCACACAATTTATTTTAGAACTTTAAAGATATTTTTTTGATGAACATTTAAAATTTTGTTATCAACATATGGACAAAATTGAGTCACACAAAATAGATCAAGAATGTTTGATTTGTAGATAACAGAAACACATTCTGCAGAGGCTAAGCATGCCATAGAAATTTGACGCCAATGCAGTGTCATCATATTTTTTAAAATAACAAAAAAGTATGTACTGCGTTTATCTGCTCTTTTACAACTTAAATAAAATAAGTTTATAGGATAACCCAGAACATTTTCTCTTGGATTCATGATACTAAAATATTTCTCTATCATATACACAAACCTGATCCCTGCCTGTTTCATAATTATTATCCAGTCCAGAGGAATAACAACATCTCTTGACATTATTCTATTCTAACTTCTATTATAAAATTTCTACATGATTGTCATTGCCTAAA